AGTCTTCAACGCCAGATTAGGAACCAGTGTAAATGAACATAGGATAGGGAAATCCGGAATAGGAGTGTCGGGACCTGCCATCCAGTATTTTTGATCAGTGCACTCTCAAGCTGTTAACGAAGATCATCCTTTTGTGCATATCAAAGATCTTGGATAAGGCACGACCAGTTGAACAAACAGGAACTTGACAAGGATTCTGCTGCATGGACCACGTCGAAACCGTGTCACGAGTCAAAGCACTCTGTTGAATGTACATCTGCACCGTGCCCTGACCTTTGTCGACTGCGACAAAGCGTTTGGCAGCGTCGAAACGTAGCCAATCCTATCAGCGCTGGTCGACCAAGAGGTGCACCCGTCCTATATACGAGCACTAGCTGCCTTTTATCGTGACTGCAGCAAAAGTTGGCAAAAAGCAAAAACAAACAGCAAAAATGGAAGCTTTTCATCGATCGCCCATTATACCCATGCAAAAATGGCTTCGATAAGGCGGCACAATAACGTCAAAGATGTGTTGCCACAATAAAGCGGACAATGAAGTCACTCGATTGGGACGTGTTGATGAAAAATTTCTATCAAATCTTCGTTTTGTGGATAACATCGTCAGCTTGTCGGAGAGCACCAGTAAAGCAGAAACGGTGCTCAGCGAACTCAGAGAAGTAGAAAGAAAGATTCGACTGCGCATAAATATGGCGAAGACTCAGTTCATGAAGAACCCACGGTTCGAAGGTGAAAAAATCGAAATGGATGCTTCCCTGACTACAGAAACCACCTCGAAGTGTGCCTTGGGCGTTCAACAATCATGGAGAACAACATGACAGAGAAACAGTTCAGAGAGATGAGACCAGCGCAGCTAATAGATCCAAGCTCAACTCTTACCTTTTCGACTCAACAGCCTTCTCCTAAGCAGCAGCGATGTGGATTTATACTTTAGCTACGTTAAAAAGTTTGTGCAGCACCCATAGAGCACTTGAGTGATGTCTTCTAGAATTTAACCGGCACTCACAACGTCTTACACAACCAGTGAAGACGGACCATAAATGTGCCCATGTAAGTACGCATCATTGACAAGGAAGCAATTATAAAAAGCAATTGTTTGCACGACACCATTCCTATCTATTAAATGCCACGGTGATTTACTTGCTTATTGTTCAGATAAAGAAGCAAAAATTGTTAGAGATGGATATAGCAGTAAAATTTTTTCTCCGTAAAAAAAACTCTGCTATACTTTAACATCAAAATTGGGCGTCTAGGGTAACCTCGTAGCTTCGACGAGGTAAATCATAGATGCATATATATATATATGCACATATATATACGTGTGCATATATATACATATATGTGTGCATATATACATATATATGGCGCGTGTGGCGCAGTGGTCGGAGGCGCTCAGCAACACGCACATGGAATCGATCTTCGCGCCCATGGTCCACAAAGCCCTTCCTCCCTCCGCGGTCGGAAAATTGGTACCAGACTTGTCTGGGAGGAAAGCGACACTGGCTCGATACATCGGTAAGCCACCGCGAGTCATTGCAAAGGCCAGATGTGCATTCAATCACCTCCAAACGATGCTTAATCTAGTCGAATGGATTGCACATCACTCAAAGATTGATCAACGGCGAGAGCTTTGTGTTATATATATATATATATATATATATATATATATATATATATATATATATATATATACGAAATTCCACGTCTGAAAACATTACGGATTTCCAACCAACCGCCCTTTTCCCAGTAATTTTAAGAAGACTCGAATTCTATTGTAAACATCGTGCTCAAAGAAAATCTTGTGCAGTTTGTAATCCACAATGTAGAGGAGCGGGTAAAGCTGTGATAATGATCCCATTCATTACGCGAACGGCTAATCTGTCTACCAAACCACTGGTTCTATCCGCGCTTAGCTCACCAAGCCTTAGGCATCGGGAAGCTAGTACCAGATTTCTTCAGTAGAATCCCAAACCCTGTAATCCACGTATAAACATCCTAGCACGGCTATCTCAGGTTTCCAGAGAAAATCGACTCTACCAGCATTCAGCAATACTTGTGACGAGGATGAAGAAACGTCAAGCAGCAACCGAACCACAAGCAAAAACCCCGGCGGCCCTCGTGGATGCAGGATCGAACCAACGACCATATGTGTATTGTAAAGCATCTCCAACCACTGCGCTACAATCGTGCACGGTTCCTTCTTCTTATTCAACCTTGATAGGGAGTTGGTCGACGATGAGATCGAACCCGCTTTCTGTTGACATAATTCGAGCACAAATGTAATGTTTGACCGTTAAAGTTCATTAAGATTTGTGAACAATGAGGTTAACCAAAACATATCGAAGATAGGATAGTCCTCAGATGATGAGGAAAGATCATACATCAATCACATACAAGTGCGTGGAACAAAGTAAAAGTAATAATCTCGAGGAAAATGCCGATCCGAAGAAGAACAGACGTGATCAATCATCGTTAGACTCAAAAATGAGCAAATGCCCACACAAGCCGATGATCCGTGTCGATGGCCTACAGCTGTTCGTCTTCTCGATGTGATATTTTGCTTCTATATCTATATGTCTACCTTCGATTTCTCTCTATCTATTTATATATGTACTTATTTATCTATTTTCTGTTTCTTCGATATTTTGCTACCAAGGTTAAATGACGACTTTTTAACGGTAGGATATATTGCGACATATAACTTCAATGATGCTGAGATATTGGCAAAACTCCTGATCGCAGGTTTCTGCGGTGGGGGTGGGGAACGAACGCGCTATTGTCCTTTCCGGGGAGTAACGCGTTCGCCACCACACCATGTGGGTCCTTCGTTTCTCTTGTCTCTCAGATAGTTTTATCGATCTTTTGCCGTCAGCAATCACCCGTCAGCAGGCGGTCGTTCCCCACCGCAGACACCTGTGGTCCGGAGTTTTGCCAATATCTCAGCATCATTGATGTTATATTTCGCAATTGACGTTACGGAGCGTATATTTCAGACGGTATGCATCATATATGATTCACAAGGTCTTCGAGAGAGACATTTGAGTGGTCCTGTGCGGAAAACCTCATGATGTGGGGGTTGTGTTTGTGCTGATGGCTTACTGCTATAAATGAATCGTTTATCAGTGATTAGTATCAGTTAGTTTTTGCACAGTAGGCGGGAAATACAAAACTTCCAACTGTTTCTTTCTATGAACTAGTCACTTTGTGATTTTTCTCACTTCTTTGGCCCTAATAATTATTTTCTTCTTGCAAAACATTCTTCAATCTTATCTTAGTCATATAATATCACATGTATTGATAGTATTACTCTATTGTGACTTACTATCTTAACTATACAGTAGAAAAAGTTCGAAAAAAAATCGATAAAGGAAGAGTGAAGTGGTAAGAGGATTGTATCTTGTTCTCTTTAACAGTTACCTTATAATATCAGTTCCAGTCGATAGTTGGATATTGGACGGCACATCCTCACTAGTTATGCGGTCTCGAGCACAATCTCCATTTGTCGGAGTCTTGCTGATTTATCTATTGTGTTTCCGAGGAGTCCCGAGGTCAGCCTAGCCAAAGTCTGCCTAGGTCGTCACCACCACAAGCTGCCGCAGCCCTTGTGGATCAGACCAGTTACTTGGATCTTGGTTTCAGTTGACATACTTATTAATCTCTACTAGTTGTCTGGGGGTGACCTATCAGAGGTGCATAGGAAATGAATTATTTTTGATCATGTTTTATTTTCCCACCATCATCTTACCAGTGAGTAATCACTTCTGTCATATTACCATTGTAGTACTTTTCTACTCTGGCTTATGAACCAGATGTACAACAAAAAAACTGGTTAAAATAACTGGTTTACCTTCATATATTTGTTTTGGTAGCTATTCTTTAGAGCTTTTAGAGCTTTATGAACATACGGCACACAATACCTACTTCTATTCATCAAGTAGTCTTCTAGCAAAATCTCCCTACTCCTCTACCTTCCTGAAATCTTCGGAAATCAATACGTATCGAACAGGTTTCGTGGTGTATTCGCGGACGATTCCAAGCTTAAGTTTTTCCGTCAGTTGCATAGCAGTTAATACTCTCGTCAGTATGTGTTCTATACGTGTTTTAGGGGCTACAGAAACTACTGAGAAATGACCGCTAAGACGAATTCTGACCCATGTCAATCAGGTAACTGTACACTTTGTTACAATTTGGTTAGAGTTCTGATTATTTATTGTTTATATTTTGTCGCTTATCACATTAGAGCAGATGTATGTGATGTGCGTTGCGGATAGTGCTATTTTAACCTGTAATCCTGAACTTTCACATTATGAAATCCCATTATTGGTTCGCTATTTTCTTGGTAAGCAGCAAATTCAGCGTTGTTACTTTGCTATTTACTAATAGTAACTGGCGTTTCGGCGGATTTCGCCCTCTTCAGAGCCTGGAAAGGCCAAGTTGAGTGTAAATCTAGCCAACCAAATATCTTCATAACTTGAGTAGAAAAAATGTTGGGTCGGTGAAATCTCAGGGCATTTGCGACATTATGTACTGCTAGCATTGTTCGAATACAACCACAACGATGCTGAGACATTTGCAAAACTCCGGACCGCAGGTGTCTGAAGTGGGCAACACGAACGTTGGCATCATTGTGGTTGTATTTCGCACAATACGCTGCCGTGAAAATTGTAGTGGGCAGAAAATAATAAGCAAACATTGTTCGAAATCTTATGTCTTATTGACCTGTCTAAACTTAGAAGGAGGATTTCAGCCTAAGTAAAGCTTTCGAGTCCAGAATTCAAGCGCGGTCTTTGGTTTTTTTTATGAAAGATGAAGTGTTTAAATGAGTGGCTACAGGTCTGTATCCGTAAACTTGGTGTATTCACTTCCAGAAAGGCTTCCTTTAGATGAGAATACCGCGTTCATCCAGGACGACCACGACAAAAATGCACCAAAGGTCGGAATTTTGAGCGATTTATGGATTTCTTCCGTAACATTGAATGAGCTGACCGTATAGTTCATGAGGGACACGCTCGTTCTTTATCTCGTCTTGTCTCTGTATTTTCCTAATTGTATCGTGCATTCCAAAAAAATTTCAGGATGTGGGAAACCTTGTCTATTTCATCATTATGCTTCATGGAGTCGGAACGCTTATGCCATGGAACATGTTCATAACGATAGCGCCTGATGTAAGTTTTGCCCACTTATTCTGGATTTTTCCAAGGGTCATCATGGAGTTCCCGCAAGACGTTCCTGTTGAGCTCAGAAGTAACTTCACTACCTCTGTTGAACCCATCGTTCTCTTGGAATTTGTGGATTTGTTCATATCATTTCTTCAATGTCAGCGGCTTCCATGGGGTCATATTCAAGAGGATTTGGTTTGATATATTCCGCTTTAGTTTAACTGGTTTTTGTCTAACCCTAAATATATGGATTTTTTGGTATTTCTGGATGCTAGTTATTATCGTTTATTAATTGTAGTACTACACTAACTACAAGATGAAGACTTTCGACGAGAACGGAACTGCTCATTCTACTGTATATTCGGCTAACTTCCTTAGTTACCTCGCTATTGCCTCACAAATTCCTAACTTATTGCTTAACTTCATTAATATCTTCGTTACTGTGAAGTAAGTCCAGTTTCCAACCATTTTACCGCTTTATCATCTAGAAGTTCGCTAACTATCCATTACAAATAGATGGTATACTTCATGTTTGCATGTGCTTTAAGGAATCTACTTCTTTGTTGTTACTAAGGAAAAGGAAATACCTAGCTGATAAAGTAAAGGACAGGTTTTCGTGGAGTGAAATCTTCTGGAATTCTTTGGAGGGAAAGGACCTATCGTGCTAACTGTTTCCATTCACAGAGGCGATCTGACGAAACGGATTTCATATTCGTTGCTGATTGTTGGCTCAATGATTGTGTTCACAATGAGTTTTGTGTATGTGGATACATGGTCATGTAAGATATCGGAATTTCTTTGTTGTTACTATACAGGAAATATTTAACCCTAAGTTTCTATATTCATGGATTTCTGTTTTCAGTTAGAAAGTTCGGAAATCACCTAGTTGTACGTACGTGATGAGATTGTAGTTAGCTCCTCAGAAGTCGATTTTTTCAGGGATGAGTGGTTTCTTTGTTATAACCCTTGCATCGATCGTCATCCTGAATGGAGCGAACGGTGTTTACCAAAATAGGTGGTTTAGTGCTGTTTGTTTGGTCAAGAGACAATCAACGAACTGCTTTGTCTTTAGCATTTTCGGTCTAGCCTCGGATTTTCCGTTCAAATTCACGAATACCGTTATTATTGGGAACAATCTTTGCGGAACCTTTGTGACTGTTATAAGCATCATCACCACTATCAGTGAGTTCTTCCCTATTCATTCTTCATTCGATTGCTTCAATACCCAGATACACATGTTTCCAGTTTCTAACAACACAGCAAACGCTGCATTCGCTTATTTTGCTACCTCCTTATTCACAATTTTTGTTTGTTTCGTGTCGTTTTTCCTTCTGAAGAAACAGGTAGTTTTTTCGTGAGAGTTCTGTCAATCACCAGCCACTCCGATCCTTATTTGTTATGCGTTCAGCCGTTCTATCAACACTACTCAAAACGTGCTATGGCCGCGCAGCAATCGGATGGAGATGATTTAATCCCTAGTGCCACAAGTCGTGACTATATCGATGCTCTCAAACAGGTTTAATAATTGTTAATCAAATACAGGGCGCGTGTAGCGCAGTGGTCGAAGACACCTTCCAATACACATGTAATCGATCCCGCACCCCTGACCAACCAAGGCCTATATCCCTCCGGAGTTGGCAAATTGGTACCAACCTTGTCTGGGAGGATAGCAGCACTGGCTCGATACATCTTTAGGCCACCTTGAGTCACTGTAAAGCCCAGACGTGCATTCTTTCACCTTCAACGTTGCTTAGTGAAGTCGAATGCATGGCGCATTTCTCAGGGATTGATCAATGCCGAAAGCTTTATTCTTTATAATTAAATACGTGGCAGTCTAGTGCAGTATTTTAGGGCTGGCCTCAAATGATGAACGTATATTTGGTGTTTTTTGTTAGTCTTACCATTTTTCCTGGAATTATGGTAGATGTACACGATGAACTGGTTGGACAAAAGTATTCGTTTGTAATACCAGGTGATTGGGACTAATTAACACTTAAACTTTACTCGTATTAGTTCAGTGAACTTCAGAAAAGTTTTTCGTTCCTATCACGTGCTTCCTACTTTTCAACGTCTTTGCTTTCGTTGGCTCGATGTTGGCTGGACGCTTCCAATATGTAAGTTTCCAATTGATAAAATTTACCATCAGCCGACTAAGATGCTACTTTAGCCGGGTCCCGTACATCTCTGGAAGGTTGTTTATACCCGGCTGCTCTTCATCCCTTTCTTTGCTTTCTGCAATTATCGCCCGCTTACCAGGTGAGTCGCTTTTTCACCTTTTATTTTTGTTTCCCATCATTATGTCGATTCTTCCAACTACTTCAGGAAGTTGCCTGTTTTTTTCACGAATACTTGGTTATATATATTCATGGCAATCATCATGAGCGTCTCTAGTGGGTACCTCAGTGGACTAGCGATGATGTACGCACCAAGGTGAGAGGTTCCCTATTAATAAAATAAAGCAAGACGAAAGTTTAGTCAAACTAAATAGTATTAAATCGTCCCCTGAATCGAATTTTACGCCGATGTTGTGCCGTTTACAGAGTTGTGGAACCATCTAAAAGCCGTATAGCTAGTATGATGGCCGGATTCTTCCTCATCTTCGGTAATGTTTTTTTTTTCGTTTTTTTTTAATAAAGCGAACACATACCTTAGTAGGACGTGATACGAAGAAAGTGTACATATCAAAGCGCATCATTTAGGTATCGTATGCGGTCTAGCATCCACTATTCTTGTATCCGTTTTAATCGAAAACTAATATTACTTGCTTCACCACCATCTTACTTACTAATTTCTTTGTCGTAACAATTCCTACGTTTCTACGATTACTTTTGATTTTGACTTTCACATGACTTCTGATATGGTCGTTCAATAAGGACTATTCTTAACAGTTGTTAGTATAATTCTGGGCATCCTGTTGATTTAGGTGGTAGCTTACCGCATAGTCTGACATGTACACCTTATCCGTAGAAGATATATTCTGTTCAATTCAATCCAGTTTTTCTCAGTTAACGCTTTTCTTTCATGACACCTCATCGGCCATTTCTCACTTACCCAATATTTTGAACTCACACACACACTTCTTTCTCCATAAAACAAAAGACTGCTTTACTCTGCACGATTTCAACACTTAATTTCACCACTCAACACTTAACGACACTTCTCTTTGCTATCTCACTGACAAGTTTTTTTCTTTGCATACCTCCAAACAACACTTTATTGACTAAGACCTTCTGTGCAATTTTACTGGATTCATTTGTTTTCTTCTACTAAACCTCATTAAGCACTTTCCATCTCTTGTTTTCCACGCTACATTTTGCATCACGTTGTATCTTTTCTATTAGGAAATACTAGGGAATCATTGAATGGTATGTGACCACAAACGTGCCTACTTTCTTATACTTTTTCCTAACCATCACCAACTGTAAACTATTTTTTGAAGGACTAGTAAAACGGATAATTCTCCCTCCATGTGAATATTTGTGCAACTCTAACAATACACATAATTCTGACATAAATCAATCTTCATATATGTGGATGAAAAAACGAATTAATTTACCAATAACTTAAGAAAAGAAGCATATCACATGTGGAAAAGATCTAGAAGTAATTACAAAGATGAGATTTTACAGAAGTCGTCAACTCACTGGCTGTTGGCAAACGGTGAAAAAGTAATAATGAAATTTCATAGAACCATTCGTGCTTGAGAACATCGAGGCCGACCAGCGAGGAAAACTTACCCCATATTAAACTCAGACGTTCACAGCCATTATGCCTAGGTTAAAATATTCAAGGACGTCACTCCGGCAAACCATACTTGGTGATATAATTGCTCAAATGACAGAGAAGCACAGTGTCTACACATCTTGCGGGACGACGTAAAGAAAAAACACTACATATTTGTCGAGAGAAGATGGATCGATGGAAAATTAGACATTAAATACGCATACTCGACATAGTACACGCATCCAAACCACATGCATTCTTTTTTCATTATCGAACAAATGAAAACCAAAGTGCAACGAAACTTCAAATCACCTCACAAACGCAAAAACCGTTACACACTATTATGTAGAGACGCGAAGCGCGAACCCGTAGAATACGGGAGATGTACTTAACAGTTGCAATCTTTCTTCTCCTGACCAGCATTCGCTGCTGCTCTGGGCAAAATCTGCTTCGGTTGGACACCAGTATCCGCTGCATTCAAATCGATACTGCAAAAAAGAAGAGACTAGTACAGCATAAAGGGAATTATGCAAACCTAGAACCACCTTAGAACTAAAACCAAACGCTCACAACAGGAAAACATAGCTATACTCTAAACAGTAAAACAACGTAAGTCAGGGGTAGAAAGTAATTACCTCCCATCCTTCACATTTTGGTAAATTTTCCTCGCTGTTTCTAAGAACGCGTCTTCAACGTTATCACCGCTGCAAGTTAAAAGACATTTTACACAGTGAAAACTCCTGTAGAAACAAGAAAGACAGGTAGAGGCACAAAAACGTATAACCTTTGAAGGAAAAAATTACTTCAAACAAAGGAGAAGGAATTAACACACCATACACTTGATTAGGAGATAAGAATGAACTTACGTTTTCGCTGAACATTCAAGGAAGGTCAGACCATTTTCTTCTGCGAAGGCTTTCGCCTCTTCATAAGGCACATCCCTCTGTCCATCTAGATCCGACTTATTACCGATTAAAAATATGGCCTAGAACAAAGAACACTTGAAAACGAAGAGCTCGAAGAAAGCATCAGATAAAAACATTTAAGGGACAACCACAATGGTGCTGAGATACTTGCAAAACTCCTCACCGCAAATGTCTGCAGTGGGGAACGAACGCGCTACTGTTCTTTCCGAGGGTTAATGCGTTCACCACCACACCATATGTGTGCCTCGTTTCGCCTTTCTCTCAGCTATTTTCTATCTACCAATGGCATTTAAGATACACATTACACGCAAATACTCTTGAAAGTGAACAAACTGTGTTAGGATTGGTCAGGTTTCTCGCATCTGTAAGCCAGCTACTCAGATGATTATACGTCGAGCGCCGTGTGATGTCGTAAACCATTAAAGCTCCAGCAGCACCGCGGTAATATGAACGAGTTACAGCACGAAACCTGAATTTTTAGAGAACTGCCATATTGGGAAGCTTTGTTTTGTAAATCTCCGGTAGCAACAATAATGCTGATACCGAAGAAACAAAATCATGCGTCATTATAAAGTGAACAAAACTACATCAATTAATCAACGAAAATAAAACACGAAACATAAATATCTAACGCTTTGCTACATTTATTGCCAGGTATGGACAAAAGTACTACTCACATACTTGGATACTTAGATGGCCCATTCTCACCAGTTGTCCAAATTCCAGCATAATTTACACCTTTTTGGAGTTTTGCTGGCTTAGCCACTGTGGTTACATGGAACCCCGAGGTCAGCCTGGCCAAAGTCTGCCCCAGGTCGTCACTACCACAGTTGTCATCGCCTTTGTGGGGTGGAGTGGGATTTGCCACCATGCGACTAGTTTGATAACAAGATAGTAGTGGATCCTGATATTGGTTTACTCTTAGCTGGGCTTCCTGATCGAAACACCGGACTCCTCAGCTTGGGAGACCCTGCCAGGGCGATGAATCTTCACGCTGTACTTCGCAGCCCGACATCCAGGAACACCTCCAGACCACGATGAGGCGACAAACCGTTGGGAGGCGACAGAGGTATTATAAACAGATTAGGAACAAGAAGTGAACCACTTATTCTGACGTAATAAGTTATAAAAGTCAAGGTTAATGACATTAAATGGAGGACCAGAGTGTCACCGTAAAATCGTGTTCTGGATTTCACCATCACAAGTGGTCATAAAAGTCTTCCATTTTAACACCAAATACTTCCGAAAGAACAGCGTGCCATATTGGAAAAAATAACCAGCATGTTTCCGGAATAAACGGAGAAACTAGTTCCAAGGTGCATTTCGGAATATAAACCGCAGATGATTTACAGTTTAGAAATTTTAACGCAACCACATCAACAGCTAGTGTTATCCAGTAGCCATAACTAACTTTAAACAGTAAGCTGATTGGAACGGAAATAAAAGCACACCACCTGTACAACATGTGAACTAACCTCTCTTGTCCGGCCGTGTCCCAGATTTGCAATTTGATCTTCTGTCCGCTGACCTCGATGATACGAGTGCCGAACTCGACGCCAATCGTATGTGGGCAGTCAGCCATAACTAAAGCTAGCACAAGTAGCAGTATCAACTCATGATTAGATCCTCCTTATCACATCCTAAACCTGAGCAACAACCCAAATCTGCTGTTGACATTATCCCATAAAACCTGAAGAACAGAGACTAAAGTTCCTCTATGACAAGACACTTTGCCATTTCAAATTAATTTCAATCAAGAGTGGCTCGAAGCCAACCATCGAAATACGTCGGATCAGAGTGCTCATTGTGTAAACAGGATTAATTCACACAAAAAATAAGTCCACAAACAAGAAGCCTGGAAGGGACCCACATTTCTTCTCAGTGAATTGGTGCAGTAGACATGATTTGCCGACACCCATGTCTCCAATGATGATATACTTGAAAATGTAGGAGTAGTTGTACGGAGCTCCCGACATCCTCAACAAAGCTTCTTACCTAAACAAACGTCACTGTCTTTGAGCATGATCACAAAAGAAATATAGAAATCGATTCGAAAAGAAAATAACGACTCTCTAAGAAGTTTCTTCACTTTGCTGAAACGAGGAACGAAGCATGAAGGAAACGGTAGAGAAATGAAGGAATGAGCAAGTGGATGACTGACTAAACAAGAAAAATCTTAATGAATGAGTAAAGAATTCCATGAAAAACACTGAAATGTTAACGATGCTTTGAATGATAGTCGGACTCTACTCGTTTAACGAGAAATTTCGCAATTTCGAGAACTGGATAAGTCGACTATCGTCTCCTCCCAATACGGATGAAAGGATTTTACTAACACACATAAATATCTTCTCGATAACGACAAACAGACTTATGGTCACTATGAAAAGTGACCTATGAGTCGTGGATAGAGGAGACCTCTGCAGTACTCGGTAGAACTCTTGAGACTCAGTACTGCACCTAAATCAAGCGCTACTATTAAGGATTACACGGAGATTTGAACAGTATATTATAAAGTTATGAGTAAATGAGACCGCTATTAGAATGAAAAGACGTTCACGCCAAATGATCGATGATTGTCGGTGGTGCCAAATCAATTCGGAACTGTGGACGCGTCATGGACAATTGCGTCAATAGACATTGATTGGCGCATTTCGCGGATCCGTTTGAATTTACTCTATTACTTAGTGCTTCAAATTATTTTTGTTTCAGACGATTACAATAGATTCTGTAACGTGATTTTATTAAGAACGTGTATCAAAGACATTTAAGGCGTTTCCAATGCTCTCAGTAAGATTGTCTACACATTCATTTCACTTCATATCCGATTATACTTACTCGATACTTGAACGGCCCGTACTCGTTGGTTTTGCGGGCCCCTGCATAATCACAATTTTTCGGAGATTTGCTGGTTAACCCATTGTGGCTCCTTTGAATCCCGAGGTCAGCCTGGCCAAAGTCTGTCCCAGTTCTTCATCACCATGGGCAGTCGCATGCATTGTGGAACAGAGGGAGATTTGCCACCGTGCGACTTTGACACCAGGACGGTGGCGGATCCTGGTATTGGTTTATTCTTGGCTAGGCTTCCTGGTGGAAACGCTGGACTCCTCAGCTTGGGAGACTGCTGGGGAGATGAATCATCCCGCTGTACATTGCAGTCTGACACCCAGGAACACCTCCCAGCCGCGTTGAGGCGGCAAACCGTTCAGAGGTCACATCTGATTATGTCTTGTTATAGATTTGATCTTACAACCGTAATCTCTTTAGTCGAACTTCATTAGCAATACTTTGCAAGTTTTATGAAATCTCTTGCTAGATCCTATCTTGTGCTACTGAGAACAAGTTCAGTGGACATAGGAAGGGAGTAGATCTGTAATAATTGTTTTGATGCTTGGATGGCCTATTCTCATTGGTTGTGCGGTCCCAGCACAATTTCCACTTTTTCGGAGATTTGCTATCTTAGCCATTATGGTTTCCTGGAGTCCCGGGTTCAGTCGGGCTAAGGTCTGTCCCATGTCGTAACCACCACAGGCAGTCGCCGCCCTTGTAGATCAGAAGGAGATTTGCCACCATGCTACTTTGATACCAGGACAGTGATGGACCCTGGTATTGGTTTACTCTTAGCTTAGCTTCCTTATGGAAACGCTGGACTCCTCAGTTTGGGAGACTGCCGGCTGGATGAATCCCTCGTACGTTGTAGCCCGACACCAAGGAACACCTCTAGCTACGATGAGGAAGTAAACCGATGGGAGGAGGTAGGAGATTTGTAATATGAAAACAAGTGCTTGTCATGTTGTCATTTGGGGTTTTCGTTGTATGTAAATCTTTGGTTGTTTTATTTTCCACCCTTAGAGAATTAATTAGGCCTACCATCTTTAAAGTTTAGTTTTGATAAAGTTTGAAAAGTTCTATGGCGATTGTAGGGTTTGTACTGCTATGAAAGGTGAAAGGTGTATTTAAACCTAGGTGTCATCATGTATTTCTTTAGTTTTCCTTCATTCTGTTCCGTATCATTTTTATTTGGTTGAGTTTTCCTTAGGGATTGTTCTCTCATTTGAAGTATCAATTTCCTTTAATCCAGATTGTGTGAAGTTTCCACTCTTTTGAAATCTGCAAATGATTGTGAGCCTTAATAACTTATGTGATCTTACAAGTTACATATGTTAAGTAGTTATGCTGGGCCGATTTTCAAGCCATGCCTTGCGACGATCACTGGTGAGCACTGTCTCTCGGTTGAAGGATCTCCATGTAAGTTGTGGTTTCTTCTCATCTGGATGACCCTTTTTTCTTCTAACTTCCTTAACTTGAGCGATTTACCAATCTCGTTTTGTTTCAGAGTATCACTCGTGTACCTCTGTGCACTCCGTTAGAAGGTGAATTTGCTGTAAAGTCTCAGAATGCACCGCGTTACGTGCCGTTCGATTCAAAGCTGACGACGTTAGAATCAAATATACGGGTCGCATCCGAACCTCATTATGGAGATTACTGCACAATTGGAGGTGGGATAAATACGTTTAGATGTTTGAGGCTCTTACATTCTCCCAAACAGTTCGTTCTGCTTTACTAGTCTTCATAAAACAAGCGCTTCAATCGATAGGAGGTTTAGGGTTTGTCTTGTTTTCGTCGTACACTTCTTCCCCATTTTTTAAGTTCAATTTTTCTATAGTGGCTTTTGTAGCACCTCCCTAAACATTGGGTGACCATTTTCACTTGATTTTATGTGTTATTTCCTATCTGTGCCAGTCTAAACATCATCTACCATTTCATCCATAATCTCAATCCACGGATCTCCTTCATATCAGATATGAATCTATTTAGTCACAAGGATATGTGGACGTCCCAAGGTGACTTAATATGCACTTACCTTGAGATACTGATGGATCAAAAGGATGTAATCTTCACCTTTTTGGACTGTGTTATAAGATTCATAAACACGATATCATAGTCATACATATGTGCCTTGCAAACATGCGAATTACATCCAACGCTTCGATGTTCTCAAAATTCTGCAGTTAAACGTCGGGAAACATTTGAGAGAAGTTTATGCTCACTCCCAAAATTTTGGTTTAACGTCTGTTTGATAAGTCATTGGTTCTTTTTCCCTGTAACAGTATAAACTGACATAATGAGGGAAATGAGGGAATTTTCACTTCTTCGTAGCGGAGGGGTGATTTTATTGATACTCCTAGAGCCATTTAATTATTGAAGGGATCATAAATACGCAATTGATAATGCTGTCAGCTTTGATCTATTCCTGAGGGATGCGCCATGCATTTGGTTTCATTAAGCGTTGTTAGAGATTGTTGAATGCACATCTGGCCTTTACGATGACTCACGGTGGTCTCCCAATGTATCGAGCCAGTTCTGCTATCCTCCCAGGCAAGTTTGGTACCAAATTGCCAACCCCAGAAGGATGGAAAACTTGGTGAGCAATGGGTGCGAGGTTCGATTCCACGTGCGTATTGCAGGCGTCTCCGACCACTGCGCTATACGCGCTCCAAGAGCAGTTATAAATGTTATAATTGTAATTAAGTTTCCTAAAAAATAAAGAAAGTTTTATTAGGAGCACATTTTTGGAGCAAACGAATTGTCTTGCTTTCTAGTGGCGATTGAGAGCGGTAGTCGTTACGAAGCCGGATACCCACTGGGTACATCACATATCGTGGAGAAGTTAGCCTTCGGGGTGCGTGCTTATTTATACATGCAAACGTCTCTCTAGTGCCTTTTAAGTCGGTTTTTCTAAATTTGTTGTTTCGAGAACTGCTACATTGTGTTTTAGTCCAGTTCTGGTCATTCGTCCAGAGATGAAATCTATGCCGTACTTCAGCAGAATGGAGGCTTAATTGACTGTCAGAGTACTAGAGTAAATTCATTCATTTACTTATTATTTTTCGTTTATTCTTATTCTTTTATCACTTGAGGATACATTTATCTATGCGGCAAGTTGTCATGTTTCTGGAATGGATGCTATCATTGAAATTATTGCAAATGCCGTTTGGAGGCCTCAGAATACACCTGATGAGGTATGGTATCGTCCTTTGTTGCTTCTTTTACTTAACAGATCTCCTTCATTGATAGAGAATTGTGCATTTAGTTGAAAGAAGCTAAAATGATTGTGCAATATGAAATCGAAGATATGCCGAAGAAGATCGAGAGCGTTGAGCCGTTGGTGACTGATTGGTTGCACAAGGTTACTCTTTTGATTAAATTATCTCAAAGTTTCGTTTTTATATAATACTTCTGGGAATTTCTTCCCAGTTGTTTTGTTTTGACAGGGTTGAAAGCCAAGTATTATTTTAAGTGGTAACGGTCAGTCTAATGGTTTGACTCTAAATACGTATTCATCTAAACGATGTTTGCTTTGTCGAATAAATGCCGTTTTTATCTCCTTGTTTTCGAACTCAACAGATAAATGAACGATGCTTCGTATTTGAAGTGTAAAAGTTTTCTAAAAACAACTCGAGCCATTGTTTTACTTTGCGGCAGAATGAATTGGGAACGAAATTGGTCTGCCATGCGGTTGTGGCGCTTTGGCCTCTGTGTTTCTTAAGGTTATTATGACACCGTTTGTGTTTCTAATGTTAAAGCCTAGAAACTTTCGGCGTTGATCAATCCCCGAGAAATGCGCTCTTCATTTAACTTCATTAAGGCTCGTTGGAGGTCAATGGCTGTATATCTGACCTGTACTATGGCTTGAGTAGGCCTATCGATATATTAAATTTCTCGCTGTTCTCTCAGACGAGTTTGATACTAATTTGACGAACCCAGCTGGATGGAGGACTTGGTGAGCCCAAGATGCGGGTTCGAATCAAAGACCACGTTTGCATTGCAGAGTACCTCTGACCACTGCCCTATGCCCTACACGCGCCCTTATCTTTAAAATGCTGTAATAGGGTTATAAGTCATTCTAGTTTCTTAAAATGAGACAAGCCAAATCAAGCCCCTAGGAGTTGTGAACAACTTCTAATGTTCTTTTCAGGCTGCTTTTCGTGATAATACGCTGGGCTTCTCGAAGTTCACAACGGAAACTGCTCTGCCTAAGATTACAGAGAAGCACGTTAACTCATATATGTTCCAGTATCATGCTCCAGAACGTCTTGTAGTTGCTGGTGAGTGGTTTATTTCTTCAATATCGCTGTTCATGTGACATGTTCTTGTTTTCTAAGCTCATATAGTATGCCCGACTAGAGTATTTTCACCCATTCATATTCATTATATTTTGTTGTAGGAGTAGGTGTTGATCACGCTGATTTGGTCGCAGCTGTCGAGCGACATTTTCGGTCGGGATCATCAACATGGGAAAAGAATCCCGACATTCTTCTCCCAAAACTGCCACCAGTTGACCTCTCGATTGCTCAGTATAGTGGCGGAGAAGTTAAGGCATGTCTAATTTAGCTCAACAATTCTACAATACTTCTGTACTAATAATAATTTTGGTCATGGATTTCCGAAATGCATTTCCGTTAAATTTCCGTTCTCTTTTTTATCGAATAAGGTTTTGATAGTACAATATTGGTAGCATTTCAATATAGATATTATTTCTAACTTTTCGTTTTTTTCTTAAATTTTGCACGGCTAGCGTTTTCCATTGATCTTCATGCAAAAACTCTTAGTCACGATGCTGCGTAGTACGTCCCCCAGGTAGCGGATAGAAAGTTATTCGCTGACCAAAAGCTATTTGCGACTGCATTCGTCCTGAGACGCTCGTGCATTCAAAAGAAAGGTTACCATAATCCAGTCTAGCGTATATCACCTTGTGTAAACCTGATCATATTTATATTGTAGTGTCCTCTACTAGATTGTTTCATTGTTCCATCCTTGTTATCCATATTGAAATATGTTATGCTTCAACTGAGCAGTTCGGGGCGATTATTGTTGACGTTGACTGTACAAATATACCAGCAAAGGTCTTTAGGTGGACAAAGATCTTTCAACGTTAGCCGTTGGCACCCCATATCCAAATCTGGCCCATGTTGCACTAGGATTCGAAGGAGTTAGCTACAGGTTATTTCTCATACACCTATTTTTTATACACTTCTTGTCAGATGTTTCCAAGGGATTCTAAGGTTCTTTGTTTGGTATCTGGCTACGGTTTTTAGTAATGTTTAATACTCCGTGTCTCTTTGTAGAGATTCGGACTTTGTTGCGTTTTGCGTACTCCATATGCTACTGGGAGGTGGAGGTTCATTTTCTGCAGGTGGCCCAGGAAAGGGAATGTATACGCGGTTGTACACCGATGTCATGAACAGGTATTAGTTCATCAAAAAATGAAAAGAAAACGAATGTAGGCGAAGCGATTAGACTGGGATGATTCATTAACCAAACGGAAAGCCATTTTTGTGGAAACAGCTAGGATCATACTAGGCAAATTTCCTCACTTAAAGGCGAACTAACTCATCGACAGTATATAGGTTGCATTATCTTGATATTTGGATTTAGTTCCAGTTGAATTATCAAGGTAGGTTCTATATCGAACTTAAAAAATGCATCAAATCGTCTTGATGCTAGATTATCTGAATGGTAAAAACTACCTCATGTTGTATATATCGAACCACAAAGGTTAGCATAAAGGTATTCGTGGACCATCTTGTAGGTATTAAGGAAGATTTGTTTGAGTAAAATTGTTTCTTTAGGTGCCATTGGATCTACGGTGCCACTGCCTATAATCATTCATATGCTGATGCTGGTCTTTTCTGTGTTCATGCCAGCAGTGATCCTGAACAAGTACGAACATCGTTCTTCGTGGTATATTTCAAAACTTTTAGTAGCCTTCAAAAATATCGAAAAATGCATTTTAGATTAACGACGTTCTAATAATTATTTTGGAGCAGTTCTTCAAATTGTCAAAAGGTGTTGAAAAAGAGGAATTGGAACGGTTAGTTACTTTTGCAGATAATAGAGTAGTTGTCTTCATGCTTCCTCTTTAGACTTAAGGAGCATATCTTAAAGTTTTTTAGAGCAAAGATCCAGTTGAAATCCCAATTGATGATGAATCTCGAGGTTCGACCGGTGATGTTCGAAGATCTTGCTCGCCAGATAATTGGACATGGATATCGGCGAAAACCGGAGGAATATGTAGAGGAAATTAGTGAGATTTATTTTCATACTAGTTGAAACCAGATTTTCAGAAAGGGAGGGTGCGAAGCTGCTTTATTTACCATACTGTTGAGACCTCTGGATTTCTTTTTTTGCCTTTTATCAACATCGCGACAGCTACTTGTCAAGAAATTTTTCATTAGCAAAGCAGTTGCTAAAATCTTCAGAATAGAATTTATGAGCTTCGGAAGTCTATAATTTCGTTTTTTTGGATTGAACATGTTTTTTTTCAGTTGGCAAAGATGTGCGAGTTATAATTTTATTTGTTAAACGTGTGAATTTAAAGTTGTTGACTATTATTAACCTGTTTCGTTTTCAAATAATTCTAATTATTTTATCATCTTCTAATTGTAACTGGTGTAAGTACAGATCCTCAGTTTTTTTCTTAATTTCAGACAAAGTAACTGCAGAAGATATTGTCAGAATTGGAGAACGCATGCTATCTGGTCGACCCTCAATGGTTGGATATGGAGACATCTCAAAACTAGCAGTGAGTTTTCCTTGCCATCATCTCCAACACCACTTGCTTCGCGTTAATCATCAACTAGCGGCGAGTAACTGAAAGAGTGCGTCTACTCATCATTTGAGACCGTGTGGAATCTGGCAGTGATTGGTTTCTCTTCAGTATTTGTTATTGCGATATAGTTTCTTTTTATTTACTTTCTATTCCTTTTTTATGGGAGGGTATAATGTAAAATATAGTCACAATGATGCCGAGATATTTGCATAACTCAGGAGCGCAGGTGTCCGGCCCAGCTTATCTTCGACTGTTTGGCGTACAGAACGGTATCTTTGATTTTTGATCGTTGACTCAGATCGGAGCTTCGGATCCCATCCCTTACTTGTGTGGAACGAGCTACTAAAAGCATCGTCTTTTCGACTTAGCATGGGATAGAACCCGCTATTATCCTTTTCAGGGGCTAACGTGTAAAGAGTAATAGTGAGTTTGATTCGCACCGCAGACACATGCGGTCCGGACTTTTGCAAATATCTCACCATCATTGTATTTTGTTATTGCTGCTTTCCTGGTTAGCACACATGAGGTTCTTATTATGCTCCTTGTTCACAAAAGCTGACGGATTTCCCCTTCTTTCCAGCCGAAAAAGGCTTGGTTGACTGCTGCAATTTAATCAGCTAAACACCTCCATAACTCTAACAGAAAAGCGATGAAACCTGTGTATATGCTGCATTGAAAACTAAGTAGCTTCTTCGTACACTCACCGCTTTCTTCGAGTGTTCCTTCCGTTGGAGGTTGGTTTTTTTTGTTGGGGTTATCAAGATACTTGGATGACTCAATTGCAATCGACTTGGGCTTTCCAGGTTTTGAAGAAGGCGAAATCAGCCGAAACGTCACCTTTGTGAATAAGGAGTACAACAAAAAGCTCGCGTATGTTTATCAAGAAAACAGCGAATTGTTGATCAATTCTAAGGTTGATAGAAAGGCGGTTTTGGGAATTTGTTATTGTATTGCGAAATGGTCTTCATATATTTTTCCGATCGCAGCGTTTGTTTCATTGAATTTCATTTCATCCCGTTTTGTGTCCGTTATCCACAAATGTTGTTGATTTTGTGTGATTTCGGCTGTTGCTTGAGAATTTTCTCTTCATCGATGTCGTTAAATGCAAACCAAACTGTTTCATCCTGAAACCCTGGAATAACTCTGTGGAATGCTGTGAAATGAAGGCCATAAGAATTCATCGGCCTTTATGAATCAAAGGGATCATGTTCCTGAAACGTTTGGTACAAGTTTGTCAGTCGCGGCGAGTTGGAGACCTTGATTACCCATAAGCGTCTTTTATTAACCCGTAAAGTACGTACAACGTTTATCGCAGCTAACCCAGTGTAATACGAGCAAATTTCGTCGGCTGAAGGCTTTTTGGTTTTTTGACAATAAAAACAATTTTTAATAACTAAAGGGTTCCATGACTAATGAACATAACAGAGTTGTAGAGAAGACTTTGTTCTACGAGAATGATTGATAAGTACACTACTATTTACTATGTGTTACCACAATCTACTGTAGAAGCATATTGATATTAGCGCTCAAATGTGTTTTGCCACCTAAATTAAGTTAATCTATATCGGTGTTTTTGTGCATTTGCACACTCTACACAATAACCGTGATTATTAAAATGAAATAATTGTCTTTTAGTTGCCGGTCAATGAACCTCATCGGAAAAAGGTTTTTTGCAAATCATTCAGTATAGAGAGTGGCTTTTCTGTTCTCAACCCACCTACGTTGATCCGCTTTCTACTAAATGTCGAATGAATATGCATAAAGTGGTAAGAGAAACTTTGGAACCCACTGAAGTGAAAGTGGACACCATAGTGTCCATGACGTTATGGGGTAACCCAATGACTCCTGGCGCAGTCTTTCCGGTAGTGCGTTTTTTGATGGCAACTTTTTAAATTACCTGGTAAGATCCAGTTCTCTTAGAAAGAGACGAGAGATGGGCATCCATGGAACCCGATAGCTCTGCGTGTTTTGGTCCAACAAGCTTCCATTGGAACTCATTTCAATTACTGCTTATCAACCAAAGTAGAAACAGTTATATTTGTAGGACGTTGATTACCACGAAGCGTCGTTCCACGTTGCTACTGTCTACATTGGATTTGGGTATTTCTTTGCATGCTGTTTGTATGAATAAGAATTTGTTAAGCTTAACTGATAGTCGACGTGATTTACACCATGTTATCGGTATGTTTGAGGTGGAGAAATTATCGACCGTTGATTTTTCACTACTGATGTGCTGATATTGTTGATTTAGTATTCTGCAGCTATCTGTCATTTCAACAAGTACTTCTTAAGAGAATGCTCTAGGTTGGTGTTCATATACTACGATATTCATGTTTTGCCATGACTTGGACACCTGGACGGCCTGTCCTCACTAGTTGTGCGGACCCCACCATAATCTCCATTCTTCGGAGTCTTACTGGTTTAGCTATTTTGTCTCTTTAGAGTCTCGAGGTCAGCCTGGTCAAGGTCTGTCCCAGGTCGTTACCACTACTACAGGTAATCACCGCCCTTGTGGATCAGAGGGAGCCATGCGACTAGTTTGACACCAGGACGGTGGTGGATCCTCGTATCGATTTACTCTTAGGTAGGCTTCCTGGTGGAAATGCTGGACTCCTTCTCAGCTTGGGAGACCCCGCCGGTGTGATGAATCCCTCTGCTGTACATCGCAGTCGCAGACCCAAGAACACCTCCAAGCCACAATGAGGCGGTAGACCATTGGGAGGCTTGCCATGACTACATGTTCTGGAACTTTTCGTTGTTATAACATACGGCAATGGTGAAATAAATGTAGGCTTAATGACTTATTCACCCTGTTCCGTATGGTATTTGGCAGTGGGAAGTGTACATAGCAGAAATCCAAGTGTACCTATTAATTTGTCCCAATTGGTATAGTGATTGGTGTTTCAAACGTATTTGGCTGATTTGAGCAGCTTTGAACAGGGTAGTAGATCATTGTTTCATTGCATTTTATTTCCTTCCTAAAATTTGTTTTCAATTGAATTTTCTAGGAGCAGTTCGTTGTTACATCTAGTCGTGAACTTGTAATAAATAACAGTGCTTAATGGTTACTGGCGCTCAAGATTCGTTGGAGTTCTCATGACGATATTATGCGATCTAATCGCACTTGATATTCTTTATGATGTCATAGTTCACTAGTTTTTTGTACATGCAGAACGCCCTAACTTAAACTTTAACAATGTTTTACAGCTAGCAAAACGCTTCGTGAACGGGGGCTAGTTAAGTATTTGTATAAATAATATAGATATTCAATTAGGTCAAAAGTTGGGGTCTTAATTCTTGTCTATTTAAATCAAGCGTCGCAGTTTTTCATTAGCATTCGTTTTTCCTTGTTTATCCCCACTTTCACTGAGAATCCCTATTTGACCACAAGACAGTGTTTGGTCAACAACTCCACTCCACGTCAGGCCTCTATGTACTCTCGCAACTAATCGGCTTTGATTCATGAAGTAAAGAAAGTCAAGAAAATATATAATAGCTCGTATCGAGGATAAGTGAGTTTTTATTGAATCTATATCTATAGCGTGGAAATTTCGAAGAGAGTTGATTATAGTGTCTGGTCTCTGTGATTCTTAACATGAATCTATTATCCCTTTGCAAAGATTTGTTTTTACAAAATCTCTAGTATACGACGTACTCTCTTGATACTTCTTGGGATTTTCTTTACTATTTTTAGAGTTATGAAGCTCTCGATAATGCGGTGGCACAACGAAGTCTTCAAGGACTTGTTGCTCGGAAGTCGTACGTTTGGTAGCCCAAAATTCGTTCAAAGAAGTTAATATTGTAAAATATATTGACGTTATGAAGCACATATTTGTCTACTTTGCACAAGTATATGGAAGATTTTTAAGAAGCTGTTGAAATATTGTAAGTATTTCTTATGTTGTTTTTCTTTTGTTTTTATGCATGAAACGTATTTAAATTCGGATTTTTAACCAGTTAACCACGGTTGGATCATGAACATCCCACACTCTTCTCTGGTGTAGGAAAAAATTTTGATGTGAAAAACAGCTTCGTACCCATGTTTTCCATATTTATTAAGAGAATTTGCTAAATTGAACAGTACAAAACAATCAAGAAAGCTACTGCATAGTAAATGATTATTGCCATAGAAGCTCTAGTTTGGGAATGAAGGAAGTAGGGAAGATACGTGCTATAGCAAACTGCGATATACTACGTTAAGCCGTAAGTTGTTAATACTAATGCAAACAGTAATGGGAACTCGGTCAAATAAAAGTTCATGAAAAGACGATAGTGATCAGTGAATGATCGAACAATAGGCATCAAAAATAGGTGCACAATTATTTATCTTATTTCTTGTCTAGTATAGAAGAAAAAAATACGTTCAAGCTTAGAAACATGTTCTCAGACATCCACATCTACTGCTAACGTCAGTAGAGATCAGATTTTAAGGCGTTGTTATGTTAGCGAAAAGTAAATTTGACTTCCTTAGGATATACACAAACTATGCTGAGGAGTTCTATAGCTGAACTGTAGATAGAAAAAGTTTTTCTTTCTTTTTTGAAACAAAACACCGGGAACTGGAGAACGTTTTAATAAAGGCAGACATGACAACGGCAAGGACTAACGATGACAATTCGGCTTCTCCGGGCGTGTAGTTAGTACTGTGGTTAGAAAGAAGCTATAGATTACAGCGAGCGAAGTTTGTTATGGATATGTTGTTGGTGGTAAGCCTCTTATATATTTAAAGCGAAACGCCCCTCTATAGAGCAAATTACTGCTGTTTACATGAAGTTTCGTTGGCGATCAGTTAATGCAGTATGCGATACAATGAGTCATGAACGTGTTCATCAAGGTGTATCTGAAGCTTAAGGCTGTTATTCGTTTTTTGTAGGAGAGTTAATGAGCGTTGAAAGGTCGGAAAAGTTAGCAGATGAAGAGGAAGTTGTAGGTGATGTGGTGGTAACGACGGTCACTGGTGACGAGGTTGCAGGCGAGGTGACGCGGTTCGCAGACGCCACACCTGCTGCAGCAGCTACGGCGGCCGTAGCTGCGACGGTCGCTGTCGCAGTACTGGTCGGCGTCAATTGCTTGCACATTTCATTAAGTCGTGACATATGCTGTAGATACATCAGTTGCTGTGTTTGTGGAATACTGGCCATAACCATGTTGAGCATATCTTGTTGCATAAGTGGTGTTGCGAACGGCATCGCTACAGCCGAAGGAATTGTCGGCGTCGTCGTTGACACTGCCGAACTGACCATTGGCGACTGTGGGCGTCGTGCTACTGCTGCTGCCAGCATTGCACTGGGTGTCATCAGTAGCGATTCGGCTGAAATACAGAAGAAAATGTTTGTAAACATTGTCCGCCTTCACCTTGCACTGTTTTCATCTTTCTTTGGTTAACTTACCAGCTGCTTGAGCTACATGATTTATTGTGTGTTGATTCATCACGGCCATCAGTTCCTGATTCAACATCATTGGATAGGGTAAATCAGATATGGGAGTCGGATGCGGATATGGGTGATGATTACACCGTTCCTGTTTACGAAATTTCGCACGTCGATTTTGAAACCACACCTGGAACTAAGTTTTTGAAGACAATGTTGTCGAATTGAAGTTTAGTCTATATATGATACTGAATACATAACAATTCTACTGTTTAAGACTTCATTAAAGGATCGTTATTACAGTGGTTCTAGATAATGTGATAGGTAGCTGGTTAATTAATGACACAATATCCATAGTAATCCTTGCAGACTGATTACCTTTAAAATGGAAAACAAACTAGAAGTCTAGAAATAATATTGATATTAAGGTTATAAGGTAAGGACGCGTGTGGCGCAGTGGTTGGAGGCGCCACAGCGACGCACAGGTGAAATCGATTCCCGCACCCATGGCTCACCAAGCCCTCCATCCCCACGGAGTCGGCAAATTGGCGCCAGACTTGTCTGGGAGAGTAGCAGCACTGGCTCGATACGTCGGTTGGCCACCGCCAGTTATTGTAAAGACCAAATATGCATACAGACACCTCCAACGATACACAATGAAGTCGAATACATGGCGCATCCCTCAGGAATTGACCAACTCCGAGAGCTTTATCCTCTTTTTTAAGGTTATAAGGTATAAAGCGTTAAATGTTGCTTAATCACTTATAGCGATGCTGTGCCTTCCACGCCATTGGTAGAACCGTAGAATTGGCCCAACATATTACAATGCATTACTTTTATTCACTGCCTATTAGTTTTTTCATGGCAGGGTATAACATGAAATACAACCACAATGATGGTGTGATATTTGAAAGACCAGACCACAGACGAGATTCGAACCCGCGGTTAGCCTTTCCATTCCCGCTGATGGGTGATTGCTGATGATACCGTTTGGGTAAATAACTAGCTGAGTAGAAGGCACAACATGGGCGTCACTGGTACAGTGAGTAATACGTGAGCCCTGCAAAGGGTAGTCGCGGGTTCAAATCTGGCCTAGCGTTTGATTTTGCAAATATCTCAGCATCTTGTGATGCAAAGTATATTTCGCCTTGCCAAAGGGAGCTTACCTTTGTGCAAAATCAGTATTTTCAGCGTGTATTCTTTCTTTGGTAGGCTTACACGAGGTTGTTAAACACTTTTATTCGGCTAACGTTTCGACGCCTTCGTCTTCATCAGACCTGACGATCCGAGTCGATAGCCCACGGCTGTTCTTCGTCTAGATGTGGCGTCTTCGTCTTCATATCGAGTTGTGTCTTCCTCACCGGACCATCTCTCGAATGAGGCATGAAGCCGTTTTATACAAGATGCTGATGATTGGTAGTTGTGATTCTCCGGTGTTAGTAACTTATTTTTCTCAGGCAAAATCATCAGTATTTTAAGTACGTAAAGTTATTGAAGGTCTATACTATATAGTAATCAGTATTTTTATTTCTTCAGACAACTCTGGTCTCGAATTGGTGGACTTCGAGGAGAGATAGTAGGCTTAGTTTAAATATGGTACGGGAACGAAACAGAGACTTGTGTATTGCAGTGCACCTCTAACCACTGCTCTAAACGCGTCTACATACAGAGATAATATAATAGTATAAAAGTAAACCAGAGAAATTTAGAATCTAGAATGTTACGGACAGACTCATTCCACTAGTACACAAATTGAAATATAGAAGTCAAGTGTCCCCATTGTTCTGTGAAAAGGAAAGGCTGTAATTAAGACGTTTTAAAAATATCGAGCAGAATAGTGTTTAATGCAGACAATGATTTCGCCAAGATTAGAAGAACCCAATGTATCTGTTCTTAGAAAACCAAGAAAGAACTCGTGAAATCTAAGTCGTAGTGAACATTGGATTGTTAGCTACAGACAAACAGGGAGTCAAAGTGCTGTTTTTTCTAACAAACAATTTTTTACATAACTACACTTATACGGTATTTCTATGAAGTACTGCAAAATTATATAATTGGATTGTAGGACACAAAGAATAATTGTGCACGGTGACGTTAGTAAGTGATAATCATGTGACACCTAATGAGAATTATTATAACGAATTGTTATGCTTGTCACTAACTATTACTAACCTGCACTCGAGCCTCGGTTAATGTCACACGTTGAGCGAGTTCTTCTCTGAAAATGTTTACGCTTACACACCTGATTTATAACGCTTCAAATGAAACACTACAAGTATGCTATGCATTCCTACACTAGGTTACCGCCCCACTGTAGCTGGGTGATGCTCTTGCATATCAAACTATGATTTGTAGAAAGTCAGTCCGCCAATAAATCGGTCTAAGGTACCAAAGAAAATAAGAGATATTTCAAACAGGAAGCCCATCTAGAGGTAGACCAGTGTGGAGAGTCACCTTCGTAGTGCCAGAAATCTATTCGTGGGGTGTAAAATCTTCATCCGAACAACAATAACCTCAACTGCATATGAATAAGGACTACGGCTATCTTAACATCGGAAGGACGATCAATTGCGTACCACTGATTGGGATCAAACCGGCTCTGAAGAAGACGAAGACGTCGGAGCTTTATCCAAGTAAATCTTCATATAGCACCCTCGTGTTAGTTCAATAATCTATAGACACGTTAACTACGCCTGTCTGTAATTCTAAAGAAAGAAAGCGCCCACGACTATTAGAGAAAACGAGTCATTCAAATGTTCAAGCAAGTTTGTATTTTACGTATTTTTTTTATTTGAGGTTCCCTGGACATTTTCCGCTCAAAATGTCACAGTAATTGAATCGAGTGGACCACCACTAATTGATCGCTAACAGGTGGTGCGGTGAGCATTTTCAAAAAGCACTTCCAATTAGACCACACATAGATACGCCCACACACACTCCCACCATGCACACAACACACAAACACACGCACATACATGCACATACACGCACACACACGCACATACACACAAATACGACATTATTCGACGATAACTGTTCTGTGTCAACGAACATGAATGCAAATAGTTATGCGTTCATGCCCTAATGTACATAGTATTTCTTTCTTCAAGTCGTATTCGATTATAGGAGCGAAATTATACGAAAAGTAAATTGGGATGATAGCATTATTTTGAAGATCGATCTATTTAGAAATACGCTAACCAATAGGGCCACGTTGTTGTAAGAGGACCTAAACCACATACAATATGCCTGATATTTATTTGGTGCATACGAGCTTCTACCTTGAGGCACCTTCAACAGAATTGACAGAAATTCGTACGAGTGATAGTCACACCACAACAATTTTGTTTTGAAACATCTCAGTTGTTTCGGCAGTGCACGATAACGAATCCCAAAGTCGAAGTAGTACAATACGTCGGAACTTCGGTACTGCTGAGAGAGCAGAGGTCATTGGGGTCGTGGGTGATCACAGGAAATGTACTGAATACGCTTCAAGCTGTATTTACTAATATTCAGTTCGGGATTCGAACACAGCAAACGGCTAAGCCTCAGAGGTGAGAGATAAGAAATGATCGGTTTGATAAACTAGAAGCGAACATTCTGCTAATCCGCATAAGCTTTCAAACCCATGGTTTCGTCAGTGTGCAGAACCTAGTGAGCAACTATGGTACATTTTTATTAATTTTTATTTTATTCTACCCGTCTTCACGTCTACTGTGCGGATCCCAAAGTACTTTTCACATTCAATTCATTTCTTCGCATAAATTGTCCACGAAGATCTTCCAAGTTTTTAACTGTACCTTCGGTTGCTGCTTGAGGATTTCCATTTCATCTTGAATGTCGTAGAACGCTGGTCGAACAAATCTCCCTGGAATCCTGAGATAGCCGGGCTGGAGCGTTCTCAATTGGATTGCAGAGAGCGATTTTTTCCCGGTCAAGCCCGGTACCAATTTTCCGACTCCGAAGGGATGAGAGGATTGGTTGGCCCGGAGTGGAATCGAACTAGCACCATGCTCGTGATGAAGGGCATCACTACCTTCGTGATATCCGCCTCCTACTATGGCACAATACAGGAACGAATTAAGACTTTTCTCGCATGTGCTCGATTCATTCGAACATCCAACGACAGTATTAACGCCTGGATTTCGTAGCGCAAATGTAACAAAGCGTAATCGGGTCGAATCGTCATCATCATCATCATCAGCGTCGTCGCCGCCGTTGTCGCCGTCGTCGTCGTCGCCGTCACCGTCGCCGTTGTTGTCGTCGTGCTTGGCCCTCACGAATCGAACGAGGTAAACGCGCAATAATTAATAGTCGTCAAGTCATCAACAATAGTCAATTAGGCTCGACGGCGAACGCGAAGCGATATTTGAGGCGTATGAGTGTTATGCTAATTGCTTGAAGGACTTGTAAATGATTTCTAACAACAGACGTTGAAACGAATTCCATACAAAACGACATCATTGTCAGCGTTTTCTATAGTGATAACGCTCTCACACTTAGTTTGTACGAAACCACGTGAAAAAGTAATGCAAATTCTCCAGAGTTCATATGTGCAGGTCAGCGGGACTGTTTAATGTCGGCGCCACACAGATACCCAGAAACGCATGAATCCTAACGTAAGCACAAGCGAATGTCACCAATTATTGCGCTGCGATTACGAGCGACAGCTGTTGTCAAAATTCGAATATCGTAATTTCGGATGGTTGCAATAGAAGAAGGGGCGAAGATAAACATAAGATAAATAAGAGGAAAAGATATAGAGGGAAAAAGAAGAGGAAAGTATAGAATTAAGTGAAAAATCCCCTGAAATACGTATAGTCGACATTGCTCTGACAATACGGAAAAGATGATGATCTTTGGCGATGTGCGTTGTGCATAACAAATTATCATAGGTGGATATTAACATTATTAGCAAAGGATATCACAGAGTGATGAATTGCGCTGCCATACCATTCAATCATCATTAATGAATTATCATATAGAAATTAGCTTGACCAGAGATTTTAAAACGGGTAAGGGATGGAAATGGTCATATAGCAACAGGTGCAACATCCACCGTCATAAGGCACCTGTTCTACACGGCTCTCTTAACCGCATTATTAGATGAGAAAAGGAGGGAATTTTTTCTACTTCGAATTGTCGCTTAGGACATAGGACAAACATCACACAAGCCAGACAGTTTCCGAGGTTGACGTCAGGTCTACTGGTAGCTCTGTGAGAAACATCCGTAATTGTCAACATTTCATTAAAGACGAAGGATTTGATAATATAGCCACATATATACAAATGTATATATATGTATAGATGTATATTCTATTGATGTAACCATAAACTGGCGTTCAATTAGAGGCATATTCGCAGCACCAGGGTGTGAGAGTTTCATGCAATTTGCGCTATTACATAATGCGACCAAGTGAGCTTAATGGCACAACTCAAAGACGTAAACAGATTTTCTCAAGCAGTCAACGAAAGTCAACCGTTGTTAGCACATCCGCTTAATGACGTACTGTAACTTCCAAGAACATATGATTTTATTCAAAAAATACTCGACAAGGCGCTTGTTTTCATTTTCGTTTAAAATTGATATTAGCATAAAGTAATGGCATTTTCTGACCTTGTGAACACGTCTGGATAATGCGTACGGGCAAACACCTTTTCTAATTCGTCCAGCTGATACGCACTGAATGTCGTTCGATATCTAAAAATTGACACTGTCGATTAAGATTCATTCTTATAAATACGTTATTTGGGGTTTCGATACCTCCGTTGCTTCCTTTTGCCGTTTTCATCAGGGCTTTCGCCTCCATCATCCGAGATATTCAGTGAATCTCGTTGTTCCGATACCGATGGTGCAGCATCGAGCATAACTGAACATTACCCAGTGGAAGCCCAAAAGTATGTGGAAGTCGAACTATACTCAAACACTGAAAAGAACGCTCAAACATTTTTCACTAACCTGGCTTTTCTTCACGTTGTTCTTCCTTATTATCAGCCTTAGTCAAAGATGCGATTGCAAACGGGCTATCAAATGGAACCGTTGGTTTTACTAACAACGGTGACGTCGCACCAAATTGCGCCTGAATGATCACGAACTCTGCAATGTGTAAGCCCGAAAAAAATAACCAAGGAAAGAGTTTCGATCACAAAGACGCAAGAGGTGGTAGAAAAGAGGTGTGTCCGACCTGAAATTGCTCCAGTTGCTTGGTCATGTCAGGCCGCATCACTAGTTGCGCCATATTCATAATGTTTGTGAATTCGTTGCTCTTCTGGCCGAATATGTTGGACGGCTCGAACTTCTCCGTAGTGCTCTGCGAGACCTGCTCGGACATCAAGCAAGATCTGAAGCGCCTATCACATCAGTTTAGCATACTGTGAGTACTTGTGACTATGAGGATAATTGAAGCACTGAACGAAAGCAGTAGGGTTATAGATTTCGAAGAAAACTCGGGAAGGAATGAAAACAATACCACGAAAACAGACAGACAAAAACATTCACTAGCAGTTTTCTGATGGTGATAATGATGTGAGATATTAAATGTTAATCTGTCATAACCTACTTTACGAGAATACTGCGTTAAAATTTGCATGCAAGCAGAAGTGCTTCACTCAGCTATAAATCGTTACCGACGAAAGCCCCAAACATGGGTGATATACGTAGTGTTATACAAAAAATTATGTGTTCACTTGTTTTTGAATATAAGTCGGAATGTTAATGGTTATCTTTAATAGTGATACTTAAAAATCTCACTCATATATGACAAACACACACTTGGAAATGAAATTTATCCACCTTCGACGCATCGATCAAGATTTAATTAGCATTAAGTAGGGCTTTAGATGATTAGTTCATAATAGTTCTGTTTTCTTTTCTCAAGATATATAATGCGAGAAAAAACTGCCGTTACAAATCAGATTGATAATGACTGAAGCAAGTGAACGGGCTACAACTGTCGCTCGCTTCCTTTCTCGCTCACTCGCTCGTTCGCTTATGTGTTATACTCGCTTGAGTTTCAGATTCGCTTTCGTTCATTTCCAATTGCAACGCTTTGCCGAGTCGAGTATAAAGTGAAGTTTGTTCGAAAAACGAGGTAGGATTGAGTGCCAACAGTGTTGAGTCTCAGTTGGTATATCCGCAATAATTGAATAAATTAATGAGATTGCGAGGTGGCACTGCATTAGTGAGAATCGTGGTTATTAATTTAACACTGCATAATCCGTGTCCGTTATATGTGAAACACATATTCTCAAATGTACCACATTATATATATGTATATATATATATATAAATATTGATCTGACAGCAGAAAATTACAGTACTACTATTGTGGTCAAAAAGTTACTATAACGGTTGTCCGTTCAGGAATGATCGTGCATCGCTATACGGACGATATCAATATGTGATAATAATGAACGATTAGAGATTCATAAGAAAAGGGAGAAGGAGAAAAAATGAATGGTGAAAGTGGACATCACTATCAACGTCACCGTAAACATTAGCACCACATCCATCAGTATCACAGCTGTGTATCGCCGTGAATGGTTGCAGCGGTTTAAAAACTTCACAGTATTCTCGATGTGTTTAGCGCATTTATTAGCGTTGAGTACGTGTATTCGGTGTATCCCTCCCATGGTTACTGAGGCGAGAAAAAAAACAGAGAAAGGGAGAACAGAAAAACCGCTTGCTCGGCATTCCTTGAGAAAAAGGCCGGCACACATACTCACCGTTTATCATCACTGGAAATTAAATCCTATACTCGTGTTTATTGATATACTACTGGAAATTGTCAGAAATCGATTACATTTATTGTTTGCAGTGTTTCTTTTGGCATGGAGATACCGCTTAAATGATAAATGCAAAATTAGTACGAATACCTCTATTACTCTAAACGCAGACGTATTTACTCATCATTCGTTATCAGTAAGTTATAGATTAAATTAAAAATAAACCCATATATACGAGGTCATACATTCACACGTACATACAAACACAAATGCCTACATAAATACGTGCATAGGAAGGTACACATAAACGTGCATACATAGATTTACGCACTATGATGGCATTAAAAGCGGTGAAACGTAGCTTAAGGAAAGCAGGATATAGAAGAGGACAAAGCTTATAGACGATTCGACTTGAATCAGAATATATTCAGGCATGAATTACAGTAACCAAGTGAGGGCAGGGGCATCCTTCTCTTACGAGCCTTAGAAAATATGATGATGATGATACAATGATGGCGGTCACGGTAACGGTGACGAAGACGCTGATATGATCAGAATATTTTCTCGATGAAAAGATGCATGTTTAAGAGATCAATTCAGTTTTATTGATTTAAGAAAAGATGAGACATTAAAGTAGTGTGAACTCCTCATTTTTGTGTCCTCCTAATGTGTGTAAGTACGATGTCGACTTTCGTCTTTAAAATTTCATAAGTGCAAAGAAAACCACTAAAAAACGAACACGACTGTAGTTAACACTTTTCACGAAACAATGTGCAGCTACAGAAATGAACACAGACGGGACGGGTAATGAGTGTGGGAAAATCCAGAACGAAATGCATGTTCGTGGATTTTTCTGGCATTTCTCTTTCAACGATTGTGGTTAGTTCAACTCAAGCAGGAACATCTTCGTAGGCACCGCGTTTTTCTTTTCTTCGTTTTACACAATAAACATATTTTTTTATACAAAAGCGAAATAAATGAAATTGAAGTGTATTTTACCAAACATAACGTAGATTGATGTAAACGCTATGAGTATCATGTGGATCGGATTAATTTAGCGCGAATTATCCCGTCAAGAGCATTAATTAAGCTCTGGGCGCTGTCATTAGTATTCTGATTGGTGCAGCAGCACATTGGTTCAACGAGATTTAAGTATGAACCATTTGATTAAGTCGTCATCATCGTCATCATCATCGCCGTGATAGTCGTGGCCCCCGTTGCCGTGATCATTACATCCATTGACGTCAGTGAACTGATTAGATACTATGGGAAAAGAAACAACAGCTAAAAAATAGCTGTGATATGGGAGGACTTATAATAGCAGTTATTGTGTTGTCTTGCAATGAGAGTCGTTTGCAGCCTATGAGTAAGTACAGCCGAGTAACGCGATCTACTGCAGTGTCCCAATAATTCGTCAGCACCGATAAAATTCAACGAGACATCACGTTGGCTAACATCCAACGATATACGAATTTCTCTAAGTAGGTTATAGTAAGGATGTCAAAATTATAGCTACAAGTTCGCACGTACATTACCATCATCATCACTTTCCACATGAACGGTTTCTCTTATTGGATGTGATAGCTTTCGCAATACTGACTTCTATACGGGCTTGTAAACGAGAAAGCTTGTACCTCTTTAGATGGTAATCGCTATGGAGACATTCGCTTTTGTCAGATGAAAAAAACTTTTGACATTGCAGATATATATATACATATATTCGTAAAACCATTTTAGAGAATTCCTAAGAGAAATGGTGTAGGAAGAGACTAGCAAAAGGAATTTTTGGTATGAATTAGTGGCAACGGCTATAGCGAATGTCAAATAATTACTGTCACTAGTTGCTATTTTAAGTGCCTAGTGGAAAGCCGTGTATAAGACAATCTATGAATGACCCTTAACAATATAATTTACGTCGAACGATGCCACTTCACACCTTTCTTGCAACCAAACCCCCATAGACAACCGGAACTACGACACTTGAGGTCAACGTCTATCGTACACGATGGTCCACTACAACAAATCATTGGCTATTAACGCCCGTTGATTACTTCCTGTGGCATAACGCGCACATTCGCATTTCACAAGTGTAACACATACCTAGCAGTCTAAGAAGATTATTATGAAGTTGTCTTATGTACACATACAATGTATGTGAGGACGACAATGGGCGAGTTACCTCACCTTATTCCTAACGTACTAGGTGTATACCACCTATATGATTGGAAATGTACGGGTAATGTGACCCAAATTGAGCATATTACCTAGGAGACGTAATTTTCGGTGAGTTACATCTATACATACACACACACGCGAATCTGTGCATAAACGATAGCAGAAACTAGTACAGCATAAAATTAGAATACTCTCGTTATCTTCTCCCTTCCTTACTCCACTTCCCGAACTCTTTGCATCTGACTAGAATCTTCCTCTGTTATTCCACAACTTTATGGTGACATATTTCATTTGAGCAAATCAGCGTTTGTCTCGATTGAAATCACCGATTTAAAATTGAGAATTTGAATGATGACAACCGTGAATAGCGTCAGATCTGTTGGAGAATAAATGTGGTCTGGCATTGCCATCTCATACTAATTGAGGAATTGTCGTCGAAGTTAGATGGGATCCATAGGAACGGAGATGGGCGAGCCATTCAATTGTTCGGCTCCATTAGTGAGTTCGACTTGAGAGCTGCATACTGAGATTTGTCTTTGCTCTAATTGGAAGACGATGCACTGATGGAAAACCGTTAAGCTTGGTTCTTCTTCTCCTCTCACTATTATCGAGTTGAGTGAAATAAAATGAGTACTACCATAGAGAAAAATTGTACACATACACAAAATATATGTATATATATAATGTATGTTTATATACACATACATACATACCACCTAACTCACCCACAATCATCCATCTATCCATACATACATACATGCGTACATACGTATACGTGCACACATACATGCATATATACGTATATATATATATATTTCGATGCTGTTAACCTTCTACAAGCCGTTGATGTATAGTCAATATAGCTAGAAAAGTGCAATATTTAGTGAAAGCAGTGACGATGTATTAATACTTTTTTAATACATTCAAATTGACTAAAATATCTATCGTTTGCTGTACTGTAAACATCG